TGTATTTTATGATAACCTGAAGCATCTACTTGTGTGCAATAAAAGCAGTGGGGAGAACATGTTCCCCCCCTCTGCCCTTAATTAGTATACCTTTATGGCTCCTTTAAACCACATGAGTTTTTCCACATGCATGCTTCCCTCACCTGCTGCTACATGCAAGTCCAGTGTTTTTTTAGTAGGCTGATTGTTGTATGTTTTTCTGAATTGTCCAGCCACATGATGAATGTCCAAAGTCATGAGAAACACATTCTGTCTCTCAGGGGGGGGGGACACCTGCAGCTGCTAAATATAGGTTATGTTTTATACCATAATACACAGCTCCATTATATTGTCAGTCCTTTGAAAGAGGCAAGCATATTCAATGCTATCTAGCTTAGCATCTAGACAGTGAACCGAGAATAGGGTCACCAGAGACAGTGCAGTAAAAGTGGGAAAGGGGCAGCTGACAGGAAGAGGAAACAGAAGGCCGGAGGTGATAAGTGATGTCATCAGTAGAGGGAGGAAGTCCATCTCCATTGGGGGCACATGGGGAATCCTAATACAGTTTGTGAGCCCATTAACGAATGTAGGACAGGAAGAGTGTTTGGTTGGCAGCATGTAGAATACAAATCTGTTTCATTGGGTCTTTAGTTTCAAGCTTATCAGAGCCAGCAGGTTCTTTAACTGTGGGCTCTGATGATTTTCAGCCTCTCTCTCTCTATTTGACAGAGTGTGTTAGGCCTATTTCTTACAGTATGACTCCCATCTGGTTTCTGTCATGGTGTCACCGAACTTCTTGATTTTATTTTTGGTTTTCAAGTTGGCGTTGTCAATGGATCAAAATATTCTGTATTTTTCCTCTAGTCAGAGACACAAAGCATTATATGTATTTTGCAAGCAAGTTCTAATTTCCATTTCAGATGGTTTCTTGTTACACACATGCTTGGTATGTCATCATTAAGAAGCTGACACTTACCATTTCAAGTAAATTACTGTCTTTCTGTTTCTCCTACTCCACCTTCTCCAGTGGCTTCCTTCAGACTTCCATCCTTTCTGCATGTAGACAACTTTTCCCACTAGTAATCAGTCCTGCAGTAGCCTCACTTTCCTCATTGCCCTGGCTACCCTCCCCCTATCAGCCCCACTCCATATATACCACTACATTTCCTAAGATTGTTTTCCAGTTTAGTTCTTTGCCCTGGTCTTACTTTGTGTTTTGCTAAACACATTTTTGTTCCCGTAACACCTAGACCTGTCTATCACCTGCCTGTTGTCTGTTTGACAGTTTTCCTGACTGCCTTCATGCTAACTGCCTGATTCCTACTTTCCTGATTCCTTATGGTAGTCCTTGCTGCCAGCACTCCTTACAAAGACCTTTCCACTTCAAATCATTTTGACACAACAGTGGATTCAAAATGTTCCACATGAGCATAAGCATCTTGTTTGTTAAAGGGCACATATTCTGCAAAATGCATTTTATTATGGTTTTCTAACACTCCTATGCAGCCCTAGCCTGTCAAACCCCCTGAATTATGAGAAAAGTCCACCCTCTCTGTTTGTGTGTTCTAACAGGTCCATTTGAGATTTTCCCTTTATGACATCACAAAGGGCAGTAACCCCTCCCTCAGGTGGGTGACACTCCCACAGCTAGGTTTTTACTCTGCCCTCTGAGTCCGCCTTGTACCCCTCTTCCAGAGAAGGCACAGCTCATTTGCATTTAAAGCTATAGTCACAGAAACAGTCTGTTCTGCAGGGCTGTGATAGAGGGGTTTGTCTGCACGTTAAGAAAAGTGGATCAGAGTGGATTGTTGGCAAGAAACTTCACAGACTTGTTTTAGGAACCTCTGAGACTCGTTTAAACTATTTGAAAAGGAGCATAAAAAAAAATCACATAATACCACGCAGTGTTTCCCCTAGCTTTACAGCGTTGGGGGGGTGGGGACAAGCCGACATGCCGACACAGCGACACGCCGACACAAACACTTGAAGAAATCTTGATGTTCATGTGTTACTTTTAATGACAGCTGTCCTTTTCTATCAGAAAGGTTTCCTTAAATGACTTCTTTCCCTGATTTCCGACTCTATCCACTATCCTATCTCTATAATAAAGGCACAAAAAGCCCAAACATAAATCTTAAAAAAAAACAACTTGACTTTGGGGGGGGGGAACACTGCCACTAAATCATTGAAACAAACCTGTCTAACATGAGATAAATGGTTCGGATTGGCTTGACCTGAATTAGGTCATTTGGAAATTTGTATGAGATGAATCGGACACATCTTCCAGAGTAAATAAAACCCACAGATCAGTCGGGTTCCCAGGCTAGGCTTTTTTTCCAATGATCTTCAATTTCATTGTTTCTCCCGGGAATCTTGTAACATTTCCCAGACAGTCAAATGAACAAAATAAATGAACATTAATGTTCTTCCTGAGAGTTTGACAGGCAAAGGGCCAGTAATAATAGGTTAGGATAAGTAGTACTCAAACCTACATGTACATTGTTTTTTTTAGCACTGGACACAATATAAGTCCAGTTGAAAGTCTCATTTAGCTGACTACTTCTTGCTTTTATAAACAAACTGTAAACTTGTCTACTTTGTAATTCCCTGTGGGTCCATCACTTTGACCGAGCCCTTTCACAAAATCATTGTCCTTGTATTTACTTTTCTAATTCAAATGTTAATTACAATATTACATGGACAGCTATGAAAGTTAGATCATAGTTGTAGTCATCATCCTGATTTGTATCCTTTTCCCAATAGACCAACACTGTCTGTGTTTATCTATCATGGGCTTTGGAGATGTGACTGCCCAGGCATGTTTTGAGCTGGGGAGAGGAGAGCCGTCAGACTTGGGAAATGCCTGGAATCTGAGGAGTAGAGTGGGAGGAGATTTCATCATGATAGGGCACACAGGCTGGTGAGAGAAGTCATTGTTGGCACAGCTCTTAATGCAATTAAAAAAAAAACAAGCACATCTGGTCATGGGGTTTACCTCACCTTTGTTAGCGTGCACTGGTTACACACACCCCTGTGTTCTGTCTAGAAATACAGATGTGACTTCTGATACTTTTTTTTATCTTCTTCTAATATGTTATGATTCAGCTGTTTTCTTTAAACATGTATGTCCCAGCTTTAGACGCTGAGTTGCATGATGGTATTTAGATAACCCTCACATGGCATGAAGATAACATTCAAACCCTGCTGTCTCTCACCTGAAAAACCTCTCCAATGACTCACTTAGCATGAGATAAGATTTTTGCTTTTTTTGCTTTTCTTCTCCTCTCGTAAGTTGCTGGGTCATATCATTCCGCTGGTCTTTGTAATGAGACAAAGAAAATCTCCCACACTATGTTTTCTGGACACCTCAAAGTCTTCAACCTGCAGAGCTCTTTCATGTCAGATCAGGTTGGGAAAAGGCTGTATATCCAACATGTCCAAAGACAATAAGGAAGAGGCCACTTCCAAGAAACACCCAGCAGTTTTCATTAGATTCTGATCTCTTGTGGAGCCACAGATGGTACAATCGTTTTAGTCTCTCCAAGCAAGTTTGTCTGGCAGGAGCTACCTCTTTGTGGTTTCAACAAATTTTTGCACTGGGAGCTTGTAAGGATGCTCACTGTTATCTGGGAAATGCATTTGTTTTTCTAGATAAATTGTGCATCTTGTTTTAGCTGTAACTTGAATAAATCTCTTATACAGTACATGAGAGCTTTTGTATCCATTTGTAATGTGAAGAAAAGTCTTGTTTTACAACCTTGTGTGCCTTCCCTTCCCTCCTCTGGCATCCACACTCCTGTGTGAGTTTACAGAGGTGGTCAGAGGTCACATTTAGTCACAGTGAGGAGTAGTTTGAAAAGCCATAACCATACCTAGTTGGGTGTGTCTTTGGCATTTGTCACACCTTAAAATACTTTTTGGGAAAAGATAAAAAGAAATCCTCTGGGGGAAGCTCTTAAGTAGTAAGCTGGAAGAAAAACATCCTGTCTGGAGTTGTAGGTCAATTCTTTTCCATTCTTCTCCATTGACAGCCTTTTCCTTGAGAGTGAGTGTTATTAGTCCAGGAAAACAAGACTCAATGTCATCTATTCAAGAGATCCTGAGAGGCTCGAGAAGGAAAAACTAAGGTGTATTTTGATTAAAAAGTGGGGGATCAAATTGAACAAACCAGGATTTAAGAAAATAGTGCTTTTGAGTTCTACTAGAGATAATAAGAGATAATCGTGCAGTCTTGTGGCGGCCTTACATCCAACTGTCAGTATTCAAGATGTACAGTTAATCCTACACTTGTTTTGTCTGTGCATGTGAGTAGTAGTTGCATTGTTGTGGATATTGTTCTGTGTTCTCTGTGTGTGTGTGTGTGTGTGTGTGTGTGTGTGTGAGTGTGTGCTTGAGGGTTTGTTTGTGCAGCGTCTTAGTGCCCGTGTGATTGAAGGCAGCGTGTTGCATCGTGTTGGGGTGCATGAGTCTGCCCCAAGGCAACAAGTCATCCACGTGTAACTCTGAAAAGTCTCAACTTGCCTCCACCTCTTCTCCACAGTCTTCACTCTATCCCTCCTGTTTCTTTCACTTTTTATCCTTAAATATGTATATATTATTATTATATATATATATTTTTTTTAAATGGTTTAGTGTTATGTTATCAGATGAAGATGCTCTCATGTGAAGTACAATACCTCACTGTATGTGGTGAGTCAGTGGGTTCACTTGCATCCTCTGTGTGGCTCTAGTTAAAGGTTAATAATGTGTTGAGGGAAAGAATGTGAAAGAATAAAGAATGTGAGTAAGCTATTAGTCGACATGTGTGTGTTTACACAGCAAGCCTTTCCCAGGTGCTATACGATCCCTAGGATTACAGCTGGGGGGGCTGCATCAGGGCACACACACACAAACAGAGCACCCCCCCCCCCTTAAAGAAAAGAAAGGAGGGGGAACAGAGTGTGGGGAGGGAGATAACACATCAGAGGGAGGAAAGGAGAGGTAAGGGGAGTGTGAGTGCAGCAGTAGGCAGACTTCAGCGAGGCAGAGGACACAGGGAGCCTTCCACTCTGGAATATCTTCTTCTTCTTCAGTATCTGATTGTTTATGAATAAACTGGTCTCTCCTCAACCTTGGGTAATGGTGGGACTCTCATCCACTGCTGTGGAGGGTAAGTGTTTGAGGGATGTCTTTGTACTTAGTTTATGAACATAGAATTTTTCCTACACTTTTTTTATGTTGAAGAAGGTGAAAGTATTTCTAATTATGAACAGAGACTGAAGCTGTATAAAAGAGGAGACTTTAAGTTAGACATGATGATGATATGACGATGATGATGTTTACCCCATGCCGTAAGCATCGTGCCAACCTGCTGAAATATTTTGAATTCTTGGCAAAGCGTCATAATTCCATCCAGACTTAATAATGAAACATTGCTATTTTTGAGCCACTAGAGAATCTTTGTGGGATACAAATTCTTGTGTGATGAGCCTGAACGTCTGCCATGCAACTAAACAGTGAAACAGATTTGTGCTTAATAATTCAATTTAGTCACTGTTGATAAACTATGAAGGATTTTTTTTAAACTGTGAGGGTGAAATGAATAGCACAAAAGAAGGAAGTAAAAAAATCAACCTGTGCCCCCGATTGAGGTCACATTATTCATCATATCAGGGTTTGTTGGACATGTTAGCACAGGTGCACAACCTGCTGACATCATTCATCCCAACATGACACACATACCCCCCTCCCCCCCTCCCTCTCTCAAAGAGTTTGTACAGAAAGTCTGCAAGTGTAAGCGTCTTGTAAAGGTCTGAGTGTGCACTGTTAAACAAACTAGTCCCGTATAGCTTCACTTCACAATGCACACACAAACACAACCTGCAGAGTCTGGCACTATTAACAAGGTGAGGAATGTGTCCTGTGTTTAACAGCGATTGTCAGACTAGTGTGAGGAGGTAAATGTTTAAGTGTGTAGCAGAGATTCCTGCAGGCATGCTTTTGTGCCTTTTTAATGATCCACTATCAAGTTTTTTGTCATGGATTTTAATGTTTGTTTGCAGTTTTTAGTCAGTTCATCCTTCCTGACGCTGCAAATAGTCCATCCATATGTTGCTTAAATTAAACAAAAACTAACTTGTTTTTCTGCACCCTTGTGGTCTTAGCTTGTTTGTGGTTTCCCTCAGGTGGTGGGCTAAAGAAAGGTTTTATCTTTAGCTTTTTAAAGACATCAAAGTCTCACACGACACACACAGGTTAACAGATGAGGCAGAGATTTAAAGGATCATGTGCTGCTTTGGCTGTGCAGTTGTAGTGTGGTGTCAATTATGAGGGCACGACTGGAGACTTAAGGGTGGTCTTATGTGCCTCACACGCCAAATACTATGTAGTAATTCCTCTCTTGCACATTTTGGAGCATGATGAAAAACACTGTAATCGTCAGATTGGATAATCAGATCTTTAGAAGGCCGGTCCAAGTGAAATAGTGAAATAGTTTACAAGTGTTTTGACGCCAACTCCTTAAAAGTAATGCCTTCATTTCTGTATATTTGATTTAATGCTGACTGGTGTAAATTTCAGTTTCTCTCGGCTGTGAATGAGTCATGTCGGTATAAAGTTCTGCCTTCCACTCGATTAGGGGGAAGCCCAGTGTGAAGCTAGAGCCAGAATCTAAACAGCTGGAACCTCTGGCAGAGACGCAGCTCTCACCAGGGCCAAGACTTCCCTCTCTCATGAGTTACCTCTTCATCCACAACCTCCTCTTCCTCATTTGCCCCAGGGTAAATCAGATCCTATAACGAGGACACATTCCTAGTCCCTCCATGAATAAATTCCTTCTTGGAATGCAAGCGTACTTTTGTGACAATAGACGGAAACCGCAGTAGTAAAGAAGACAAAATGGTTAAACAGACCCAGAAGAACACACACACACACACACACACCTACTGTAGCTCTTGTTGCTCTTTACTGTAGCTGGGCATTGTTTAAGCCCATAGGAAGACCCACCTCAGGAAAGTATGTTTGTCTTTAAGGAGTGGGAGTAGTCAATGAAACACACCAGATACGTCCTCCAGCCGATCAAGCTGCTCTGCTTGTCAGTGGTGATTACATACAGGATTTTTGTGTCAGAGTGAGACATCCTAGAGTTCAAACCTGCACACAAACACAACAGGTTGACTTGTGTGTGCCTTTACCGAAGTTTACTTTTAAACCAACCCACACTTAACACACACCATGCAAGCATTTCTTTACATTTTTGTGCAAGTTTTTGTGTTTGTTTAGCAACAGGTCTTGTTGCCATATGACTCGCCATGCTGAACAAAGACTTTTCTGGCTCAGTGGCTGTCCCGTGGCTGACCTCCAGCAAGATGCACGGTTCAGCAGGTCTAATGTGGCTGGACTGTGCAAACAGAGCACGGGGGGGAGTGAGAAGAGATTAGATGGGGGAGAGGGAGGCTAGTGTGCAGAGTAGTGACTCAGCCAGTTGTCAGTGACTGTCGGGGTTTTAGGATTATTAAGGTAGAGAAATGTCTGTTAGGGTGCAACAATACTGACAGAAAGTATTAAAAAAACAAAAGCTTGTTAAATAACAGAGGATTGGTGGCATTTGCTTTTGTCTGTAACGAAGGAATCCAAAATCCAGCAGCAGGTTGTGGACCTGTTCTCAGACTGTCCAGCAGCTGCAGGATTCAGACGGCTTATTTAATTTCTCTTCTAAAAACAGGGAGTGGAGCGAGCAGTCCCACCTCTCAGAACAACATGTGAGGTGTAGTTTATATCCCTATAAGCCACACAGTGTTAGAGAACCTGCAGAGAGCCCTGAAAAGAGGCCGGCCTGTCTGAGCCAGCTCTGGCTTTTGTGATTCTATGACTTAAATCCCCCCAACTGTCAGATAGAGATCAGGTCCCAGTGAGCGCCGATAGATTTGGCCTGCTCTGGCCTCTGTTAAGTGGTCCTTCAGTAACTCTTGTCAGAGGTTCATTTACTTTCTCAGCATTCAGAGTGACAGACGATTGAAATTTGGGTTTGTGCCCAGCCGTGTGTGAGCCAGCAACATCTCAGAACTGCTGCAAGACAAAAAGTAATCCTAGTTTTCTCTGCGGCTTGTGTGGGGTGCTATGTTTTTGATCCTGTGTGAGAGTTGATATTTTAGCAATTTTCACTTTCTTTCTGGGTTAATGAGAAATCAACAAAGCTGTTTCCTGTCACTTTCTTGTTGTTGTTTAGTCTGGTTGGTTAAAGAGAGAGGAGGAGGAGAGGACAGCTGTCTGCGTGATAAGATGGCAGTTTGATATACACAAACTGTGAAGCAGAGTGACAGAAGACTAAAGAAAGAGACAGGGAGAGAGCCTCTCTGACATAAACCTTTGAGTTTGTTTGGACTTGTCAGTCTGACCTTTGCCCTCTCTGATGATATACTGAATTTGTGTCCCTCTGACCTTTGCCCCCCGTGCAGCCATGGAGGTGTTGGTGAGTGAGCTGGGAGCTCTGCTGAAGATGCTGGACCAGGAGAACCTCAGCTCCTCCACGCAGGAGAAGAAGACCTCTGTGTGGAACCTCCTGCAGCAGATACAACCATCAGGTCAGAGATATTACTTTGAACTATCAGAGGGAATTTGGACACATGATAAAAAGGCAGACACAAAGAAAAAAAACACTGCTCTGGAATCACCTTTAGGGTTAAATCTGTTTCTTACCATGCTGTAAGTGTGTATATTTTCTCTCTTTCAGTTTCGGGAACAGACTACATTTACATGAACTCATCAGTGTACAGGAATGGTACCAGCTTTGTGGAGTCTCTCTTTGAAACGTTTGGTGAGTTTGAGCTCAATGTAAGCGCTGGAAAAGTCAAACTTATCTCTTCATCACCGGCAGATTCCTTGTTGTCTTTACACAAGGGTTATACATGAGTGTTGTTTTCTCTTTTAGACTGCGAGATTGGAGATCTAAAGGATGTTACAGACGAGCTGAAAGATGACAAGAACATTCAAATGGACACCTTAACTCAGGCAAGTGGTTCAAATACAGTTGATTTATGGCATACTTGTTTCCATAAATATAATTTAAAAATGAATTATTGTCTTAAATCCTGAAGGTAGGTTACTACAGTGTGTCAGGGGGGTTATGTTGTTTTATATATGTAACTGCATCCATCTTGTGGAGAATGCAGTCTGTCTTTGCAGCACTTCATTTCCAAATCCAACTTTCCAGAGGACTGTTGTGCCTCTAAATTACTTTGAGAAACAGCAAAGAAAACAGAGATTATATTCCACGTTGTGGGGGTTTCCCCATGCACACATGCTCATCACTCTGCAGGCTGTTGGAGGAGTGAAGATTTCAGGATCCGCCCTGAGCCCATGTGTCTAATTTATGGATATTATTTTAAGAGTTTAATTCTGTGTCTCTTAGATGATGTAGTCCTAAAGGCTGTGAACTAAAAAGTCTTTCATGTTTGTAGAGGAAATCTGATCCTTGGGTTTTGTGCGCCTCATTCAGGAAAACTGTACAGACTCCCCAGCCCCGCACTCAGCTGACTCTCCCCCACCTCTGCCTACAACACCTCCTCCTGAGGAGTACTATGAGGAGGCAGTGCCTCTCAGCCCTGGAAAGACGCCAGAGTACATCATCACTCGAGGTCAGCATCCTCCCACTGTGTTGAACTCAGTGCCCTTTAAAGTCATTTAGAGCAAGTGCTTAGAATTTAAATGACACAAACATGGTCATACAGCATTTTTCCAAGCATAATTATAGTGTGCAAGTCGTATTAAAGTGCATGTTAGAATACACTGTAAGGACTAATTAGTACTTTTTTTCCCTCTCTGCAGCACGGCCTAGCCCTCCAAACTCTATAGAAGATGGATATGAAGATGCTGAAAACAACTACCCTACCACCTGCATTAACTCACACCGCAAAAACTCTTGTGAGTGGAGTGCAGAAACTTTAAAAAGTGCCTACAGCTGCCTTTGAAATACAACAGAGCATATTTGATCTTCTCTGTGATTGCTCTTACAGACAATGACTCGGACGCTCTGAGCAGTTCCTACGAGTCCTACGAGGAAGACGAGGAGGAGAGGAACCCGGGCATCCAACTTACTCACCAGTGGCCCTCTGATGAGAGCTCCATGCCTCCCGCCAGAGACTGCCGCATCTGCGCCTTCCTGCTGCGCAAGAAGCGTTTCGGCCAATGGGCAAAACAACTCACCGTCATAAGGGAGAACAGACTGCAGGTGAGAATCTCTAAAAGTCGTCAGCACAACATGCAGTCGTGCATTCAGATACATTAGCAGCTTACTGTGTGTCCTCTTTTTGCAGTGCTATAAGAGTTCTAAGGACACATGCCCCTATGTGGACCTGCTGCTGCCCCAGTGCACTGTGGTCTATGCACCCAAGGACAGCAAGAGGAAGCACCATGAACTCCGCTTCACCTTACCTAATGGAGACGCCCTGGTGCTGGCAGTACAAAGCAAGGAGCAGGCCCACCGATGGCTCAGGGTACATCACACTATAATATAACGTGCATGAAAGCAGCCTATTAACACAGGCTTTAATCAATGAGTGTAGAATGATGACATGGTTAATACCCCCAGGTTGTCAGAGAGGTGAGCGGTCACAGCGCTGGCCCTGAGGAGTCTGCGTCTCCTGTCACTCAGAGAAAAACTGAACTTGACAAAGTAAGTGCAGAAGAGATGATGTTGTTTCTGCAAGTCTGTTTTTATTCTTTTTTTTTTTTTTTACCTTTTTAAGACTTGATATGCAGTCGCAGCCGAGGTGAGGAAAAGCACCAATTGAGTTGGTGTTTAGTGCCTCACAGTTCACAGTGATCTCTGTGTTTGGCTCACAGAACAAAGATGAGATCTGCGTTGTAATTGGGTGATAAAGACAGCATTGATAGTGGTGGTGGTGAGTCAGTGTTGTTACAGGCACATCCTCTTTAAGTCTTACCAACCAGTCAGAGCATAAACTAACCAAGACCCTGTCATCAGTGAATGCACAGGGTGATGAGAGAGAAGAGCTCATGGGAGAATGAGTCTGTTGTCTCATTATCTCAGGAGTTCAAGGTTATAAGACAACATGTACAGTAAGAGAAGAATTCAGGAGACACATTAGCTTGTTAAAACAAAATGCCTCATCCAATGTTCTGTATCTCATAATTAAATCTGCTAAAGGAAGGTTTAGAAAGACCACATTTTGTTCTAGAATTCAGAGAGACTGTATGAATGTGTGTTTACATTCTTCCTCCTCAGAGGTTGTCTGCTGAGAGGAACACATCAGATTCAGACAGTGTGGGCGTGTCCACTGGCGAGAACTGCAGAGAAAACGGTGAGACAGAATCCTACACAGCCTAAAATCAATGCTGCAGCTACCGGCAACACTTAGCAGCTTATTTTCTGCTGCTGCCTTCTCACAGTCGTCATTATAGAACATGCTCAATAGTCATCATGACTTCTGTACTGCTATATACGATGGATGAATGATAGAGATAGAGAAAGGTTTTTATTATCTTTAACTCTCACAAAATCATTTCACAATGTGAAAACAGCTGTCTGATTTAAGAACTGACTCATGAGTGTTTTAGATATTTGACAAAGAAACATAATCTTTAATTCTAGGGATTCTTTGTTTTTCTTAACACTTCTGCATTATAGTTTTGTAAAATCAGGGCTTTCCTAAAAATATGACTAAGTTATGATTATGACTTTGATTTTGACCAGGGACTCATACAGACAATTTAATCATTAGAAGAATACAAATGTTAAAACAGGTCACACTAAAGTTCAAGGCTCGTTATGACGACTGTGTTTCCTCTGTATAATGAGATGCAGATGTTAGGTCTGGATCATGTTGTGAAGCTGTCATTGAGTTATAGTATTGTCTCTCAAATTCATGTTACCTTTTCAATTAGAGTTGTTGATATAATGGTGATAATTATTTAGCTGCATGTTGTATCATGACTGAATTTCCATTTCCTAAGCCCCAAATATAAATGCATTCATTATTTTTGTTGTTGTAGGTAAGGTGAAACGGGGAGCTCTGGCAGCTGGCCGTAAAATCACACGTATAATCAGCTTTTCTAAGAAGAAGCTCCCTCGTCCAGGAGATCCCCGGACGACCTTCAACGATCCTCGACAAGGTCCGACCCGACTTCAACATCCCTCTTCATGATTCCAAGTTGTCAAACGCCTCATTCTTCTTCTTTCCTTCATCCCCCCCGCAGGATACCTATCCGTGTTGGTGAATCAGGTGTGGAGGGAACAGTGGTGTTGTGTATGCAGAGGTTCCCTGCACTTCTACCACGACAAAGGAGACCCTCGTACCTGTCTACCTTCACTTCCTCTCCACGGCTGTGAGGTGCTCCCCGGGCTGGGACCAAAACATCCCTTTGCCTTTAGAATCATACGGAACTGCGCAGAGTTGGCTGCTCTGGAGGTACTTACTTACATTAAAGCTTCAGTAATCGATCATTTTAGTGTCTTTCAGCCCACTGTTTTGGTTTTATTTTCTTCAACTTTCATAATGAAATTGTCTTGCTGCCCACAAATTGCCTAAGATCTGTTAAAAGTGTTCTGAATGTTTTAGGCTAGCAGCTCTGTGGAGCTCGGAAGGTGGCTTGGCGTCCTGTTAGCAGAGACAGGCTCCACGACAGACCCAGAGTCGCTGCATTACGACTATGTTGACGTGGAAACCATCGCTAACATCCGCGACGCTGCTAGGCATTCCTTCCTGTGAGTGAGACAGAGAGGGGGGGAGTTGGAATATTCAAACAGGGTCAGACCGAGGCCGCTGACCAATGCACTGATGTTAGGACCTCACACAGATTTCCTTTCCCTGTTTTCTCTGATCCTAGATGGGTCACATCCTCCAGCGGTACCTCCACAGACTCCAGAACATATGATGAGGTCCCCAACGAGGACATGCAGGTGGGTCGCACGTGCTCATACTCACTCTCACTTTCTAAGTTCACTAAACCCAAAAGTCTGATGTCTTTGGTGTGACAAGATTAAAAGGCTGCATGTCTGTGTGTGTGCAGCTGTCTGGGACTGTCATATATGACACCCCATATCAGTCATCAGACAGACAGTGCTCTGTTACATGTCTATCAATGACAGCTTTTTGCAGCACAGAGAAAAAGCAGTGTGTGGGCATGAGGGAGGGAAAAAAGACAAAAAAAGGAAAAAGCGTTCAACTGGTGACAGGAAGGGGAGAGGTCATGGTGATTTTACAGCCAGTAAACACCTCTCTTAACCCCTCTGACGTCCTCTTAAACATAAACCTCTCATCACCTGCAGCTACAAACACACACACCAGCTACAAACACACACACACCTCAATGGTCTCCAACCAATACATTTGAAAATGAGTGTATTGGATATTAATTACACAAATGTTGTTTTTTCTCTCTCTCCCTGTCATCATCCTTCTTTTGCACATCTGTCACGCCCACCCCCTCTCTGCTCCAACCAGTCAGGGGAGATCCACATACAGCAGTCTGGGAATCAAGTGAAGCGACGCTCAAGTTTCTCCAGCAGTGACTCTGACAGAATCAAGCCTTTAGTCTCCCTCAAACGCACAGGATCAAGTAAGTGCATGTACTTGGTTGTCAAAGTAATGGTCACTGTTACTAAAGTAATGGTGAGACTTCTCTCATGAACTTTACTTATGGATTAATTAAATACTTTGATACAGCTATGGACAGGTACTGGCACCAATCTCTCTTGGGAAGTACCGTTTGAAAACCAACAAATGGATGGTAATCGCTCAATTTACTACAAAGCATCACATTTTACCACTATTCAATGATCGAGGCAAATAGTGAGAAATTTCTACATTTGAACAGTCATATTTTAAGGTAAAAAATAAAACTCAATTGACAAATGAATGCTGATATTAGTCATTGGATGTCATAATTGTAATGATTTTGAAAACGAGACTTAATTCTTCACATGTGCGTTTTGAACAATAATACCTGAGAAGGTCATTGTGATATATATCCTATCAATCAATCCTTTACATAGCAGAAAATAAAGTGATATCACTACATTTTTGATTTAGAAAATGTTTACATAGTACTCTTAATGAGAACTATAAATGACCAATGTTATAGCCATACGATTAAAGAAGTGTTTCTCATTTTGAGAGAAAGTGGCTGAAGCTGATATACATAAACTAATCTCCCACAGAAGGGTCAGAGGCTGAGTTACATTATGAGAAATGTACAGTAAAATTTGAGTTTATCTTCTTAATCAGTGGGTCAGTGGGTTACCTAATAATACAGCTCATTGACAAAGTATGTGCCAAGATATAGATATAACTGTGTTCCTACTTTTTCATGTGTTAACACATGGTCACACATCCTAAGTGCTGCAAAATGAGCAGTTTATACGCACATACAGTATTTGCTGAATCGTGCCAGCATTATTGTATAAAAATGTGTCATCTGCATACAAATTGAAAAAAATATATAATATTCAGTCCTTGATCATGAATGTAGTTGAAGAAGTAAAGTGGGCCTTAAGTTGATCCCTGTGGAACACCTTTGAGTAATTATTTTTTTATTACACATCTTCAGCAACAGCACACTTTGATTTGTATTTCAGTTATTTCTTAGCCAATATCATTACAATGTATTTTGATAAAATTCTGTTATCCATCATGTTTTATGGCACAAAGAAAGATCCATAAACAGCTGTAAAAATGTAATCCAAACTATTCAAAGTCATCCACCACTAGCAAAACAGTTTAGGTTTAAATTTTTCCAAAATATTCTCTCTGTGTTGATAAATATTCATGTCCTCTGCCTTTCATCTTGTGAAAAAAAGATACCCTTGAGGAGAGCTCTAAGAAATAGATGTCCCCTCATACTATAGCTGATTCACATGAGTGTGCTAGCTAAGATCTTGTTCCACTGTAGCTTATACTTTTTTTTTATATCCTCCTAGTGGTCATAAAATTGAAGTTTTTATTTGGCTCAATATTTCCTTTTTCCTCTCATCTCTCACTCATCCTCTCACTTTCCATTCACAATACGTCCCCTCTACACTCGACTCTCCCATTTGTTCCATCCTCTCAGCTTGTGAATGACATTCAAATGAATGGGATGAGCATCCTGAGCTTGGGAAAGGGATATCGGTGTGGACGGCTGTGTCTGCGCTTTCCTAATGGCTGTTTCACTGGCCGTCACTGTGAAGTTCTGGCACATCAAAGAAGCAGCGCTCTCCTGGGCTCAGAGCTTCCGGATGTAACCTGAGATTTATTGGACACTTGCATTAGATCCGCTGTCATGCCTCCTGATCCCTCACTCTGCAGGAGCTGTGTGTGTGTGTGTGTGATAATCTTTTATGCATGCATTGTATCACTGTATCTTCTAAAAAAATTTATTGGAATCATGATGAGGACATATTTATTTGCAAAATCTCTACTGTGAGTGCTAATGGAGGCGTTATATTCCTCACATATGGCACATGACATCTGAAAGGACAGGGTGAAATATTACCATGAGATGTGCTGTCTCCTTCCCATAACCTCTGAACATTTGGCCCTTCACCTTTCTGACATCTACACCCAGACGCCAACCAGTACGGACGGTATGGGAAAACACGAGCAGACGAGGATGCCAAGCATTACCTGAAAGAGAAAGAGGAGCTGGAAAGAGAGAGGGATGGGATACGAAATGCACTTGTGACCCTGCGACAGGAGAAGAGAGAGCTGAAGGAAGAGCTGAAGTTGGCCACTGGTGAGACGATGCAAAACAAAGAAGAGGCTGCACATATTCTAGCTAATAGGGTGTAACAATAAACAGCATAGGTACAAACATATGATAATGTACCCTGATTACTGCTGGGAAAGAAATAGGACTGAACAGTTTTCCAAACAAAAAAAATCAGTAAGTAAGTCATAGTTTGCCCAGGATGGTTGAGTATATTACACATTAACCACAATGCTTGCATGTCAAATGTGAGTTAATTGTCCCTGACCCTGCACTGTGACCTCCATTATTAGAGGTCCATGTGAGAACAGAAATCCCCCACAGGGATAAATAAAACATCTAATTGGTTTTATCATTTAATCAAAATATGTCTGTGAGATTCCCTCGAGGTCTTATTAATTTCCTGTCATATTCAGAATTCAGATTTAAGAGAGTAAAAGAGTATTAAGGACAGTCAAAATACTCATCAGAATCACTCCTACCTCTGTGCTATTATTTTGTGCTTTAATTTTTGCTGTTCATTTAGAGTTCTAAATTGTATCTTCAAAGTGGAAATTAGTGCAATATTTGCCTCTGAAATGTAGTTTAACACAAATATAATAAGATAAGATAATCCTTTATTTATCCCACAACGGGGAAATTTAAATTGTCACAGCAGCAAAGACCAAAGATTGCAGAAAAAAGTGAACACAGTACAATTTAAATATAAAAGAAAAATTAAGAATGTACAAAAAAATACATAGGTACCACAATATAGAATTTAAAAAATAAATCAGCTGAGCTGCAGTTTTGACGAAAATGTAGTCAGAATATTCAGTGTAACACAGACATGCACACAGTGCACATAAAGTGTAACATGTTATTGCACAAAGTGGATTGGTAAACATAATATAACATCAATATAGCATTATTATTGCACAAGGTCAGAGTGAATTGTCTGGTTGTGTGTGTGTGTGTGTGTTTAATTCAGCATATTAGAAAAATGCAAGCAAATGTAGTACCCCAAACTGTCCTCACAGTTAGTAGGTATGCTTGGGTTCATGAACATTGTTTCAGGGCATGCTGATCTTTCAGACTCAGAAGGACATGTGTCGATTTTCTAAAACATGTCTTATTTTGTGGTATGTTTTCCTGTGTTGCTGTGGAGCAGAAAGAAGGAAGCCCTTCCTGAACAAGCGAGTGTCTCAGCTGGAAGAAGCCTGCAAAGCTAAAGAAGCAGAGAGGGTGGACCTGGAGCTGCGGCTAACCCAGGTCCAAGAAAACCTCAAAAAGAGCCTTGCTGGTGGAGCACTGGGTGCCCCTGTTGAAGCAAAGCCACCTTTGAAGGTATACATGTTGCTTACGTTCAAAGATGTTTACCCCTACTTGCATACAAATGCTTAAGTTACTTTTTTATATATTTGATTTGTTTATTTTGTCAGGGACAGCCACTTAGCTGTACTAGAGCTAGCTTTAAGCTCATTTACATCTGTAGTCCCTGTGCAGGAGACAGAGAGAAGTATCTGTTTAGAAATAACACATAGACTAAAAACATCTACACAACAAAACACAACCTCTTTACATCAGCATTAAATTCATCCACAGTGAAATTCACATATGATATTAAAACAGTAATAGGCTAAAATCACTACTCTTTAAAAACTACACATTACCCTCAAGTGTCCTCCACAATGCCATGACTTCTTCTGCTTGTGTAGGGCTCCTGCAAAAAGAAACAGAATATCTACAGTGAGTCTTTACCAGTGAACTGTTCCTCCGAGATGCGGAGGAGACCTCCATCTGTTTACGCTTCTTCTTCAGGAACTGTCATGCAGAAGGCAAAGGTAACTACATAAATAAATCTTCTTCCTGTCATTGTGGACAGATTTCTTTGTTGGGCTTCACCTAACCCAGAGCAGAATTTATCATCATTTTATGGGTTCACATAAATATGTTGTTTGTGTGTGTTGTTGCACTCACTTGCAGATATATAAAATGTACTGCCTGTTATGTGTCAGGAGGGGGTGAAGTCAGAATAGAATATCCACAATATTTTACCTAGGTCACACCAAATAACTCTGTGTGATTTAGCAAGTTAATACATGATATATATGTTAAAAAAATGTTAAAAAATATCTAAATCACTTTTCATTTTCTACAGGAGTGGGAGTCAAAGAAAGGAACTTAAGAGTCTTGTGATGTAAAGGACTGAAAGAAGAAACGGACTAGTGTGACACTCAACCCCTCCCTCTTCAATGTAGCTATTGGATGTGGAGTCTACATCTAATAGCAATGAGAAAACAAACTGCAATGAAATAAATTGGCCACCAGGTGGAGGCACATGTCACTAAATATTTACTCCTCCGGTTTCCTAAAAAGGACTGCTTCAAATGTAGGGAATACATCATCCGCTCACTGTGCGTTTCTCAGTATTTTTAAAGTCTTCGGGGACAGATATTGAAAATGTTTCAATCAGAAAAGAGAGAAGAAGATTTAGTGAAAGACAGAGACATGAACGGTATATTGAACAGCTTTGTGAATGATGAGTAAGGGACATGCAACAAATGACTGTGCTCTAATTTGGTGTTGCATACGATGAAATGTTTATTTGATAAAGTTTAAGAAATGTGATGTTAATGGACGATCAGAGGACGGACGCAGCGTGCCACAATGTGCCTTTTATATGAGATATTTTTTTCTGCCTGTACATAGTGATCCATGACTACTGTTCTGTATGTCTTATACTTTCATTCTGTTCAAGTTTTCATTTCTCATCATCATTCTGATGTAGTGTAAGTGCTGAAGGGGGCGCAGAGTGTGCATTGTGTAGCTTTCTCAGGTTGAAGGTGTGCTACACTACACAGCAACAAAAAAAAACATCTGCTGAATAAAACAATCCTGCACCCACTTGTCCCTCTTTGGCACACACTCAAAACCAGTAACAACTCACATTAGAGGTTCAGTAACTAACAAAGTGGTGCTATTAAGTGACCAAAACAAATGTTTTTCTCCACTATTATGTCATTTTAACGAGTTTTTGGCTGAACCCATGGTTGACTTTTGCACTTTACTGTTCTTCTCCCTGAAAGAGGGAAAAATAAACATGTTTTATTCTCAAATGTTTCACCCTATAATCCTTTATTACAATGCAATCATTGGATTTCTTCTTCATTGAAATTCAACACGTTCAGATTCATTGATTTATTCTTTTAATTTCACATGAAATGCCGTAAAAAGAAAAGAAAAAAAGATGTGATTCCATAAAAACAATGTATGAGAGCCAAAACAAGATAAATACTTAAACATCAGTAACAGAATGAAGGCATTTCAATGCAGCTCAGTGTAGTGTGGTGCAGCTCAGGCAGCCTTTTGTTTCAAACTCATCCTAATTTTAAGTATTGAATTGTCTCTAAGTAGACAGACAGAGACTTTGTATCATTGTTTTGACATGCTAATATGACAGCAGCAGTTGCTCAGAGTTTAATACACAGAAGAAAATTCAGATTATTACTATCTTTAGATTTCATACATGAGATTCAAAACGGTTTTATGGTCAGTGTGGATCCAGGCAGTGGTGACTGGTATTGGGTCTCAAATGAGGTAGAGCAGCTTCAGGATGGTGAAATTAACAATGCAGCAGCTTGAAACCAGCGCTCAGAGGAAGAGGTAGTAAAGCCAGTAGAGGATATTGACAAACAGGAACGCCGTGGGGAAAACGGTGCGAGCGTGGCGATCAATGTTGTGTGGATTTTCTACAGTGAAGATGGACGCGGCCCTACGTGACGCACTCTTCACTGATGACAGGGTGCAGCCTCGTCCTGGAGCCTTCTCTTTTAATGCTTCATTACTCTTAGTGTCAGTGTTGGCAGACTGCACGGCGGGCTCCTCTGCGGTGGAGGCGATCTCCACAGACTGGTTTGGTTGGGTGGAGGTGACGACAGGGATGGAGCCGTTCCCGTTGGATTCATTTAACTCCTTCAGAAGCTCCTGGAAGAAAGATATCAAACTGACAATTCTTTCATCTTTAAATCAAGAAATGTCCCCCTAATCTGATGGTAATAAGCGTCCTTACCCTGTATAGGTCCTCTATGGTGTGGTTCTGCATGGTGTAGAAGTGGGCACAGGCGTACTCCAGCAGTGCACCGAAGATGAAGGTGAAGCAGATTCCCAGATAAACATCGATGGCCTTGATGAAGCAGTTGGCATTAGGGAGAGAAGTGCGGGCGCCCATCATAAGTGTGGTCATCGTCAGAACTGTTGTCACTCCTGGAAAACATGTCACAGTGTTTGGTCAAATTGTGGCTGAATCTCTTATCCACGTATATTGTGTCGATGTGTAGATACTTGTTGTCAAGACGCTTCTTCATCTCATTATCTGATCATTCTGATCTTTTGCTCTTTGACCTAACTGGCAACTAGTATCAGTAAATCTAATACATTCAACCTTTAGGGCATGCCCTCATTTTCAATTCCCAAAAGTACAAATACAGATAACGGGAAAATAAACAAGCAAAGAAAGCAGAGTGCAGTTACATCCATCCTGAGTAGTTTTTAATCATGTTAAAAATTGACCTATGGTAACACATGAATTGAGTTCAAATGTGTGTTGTAAAGTGTCTCAGGTGTGTAAAGGACAAAAGGTAAATCAGTTTTTTCCAAATCTATTGTATACTTTATTAATCCCTTAGGGAAATTCTGTTTTACACTCTGTTACTTTAGAGACATGTTTCTCACACACACGTCTCATTGCACACATGTAAAAACAGGACCTGTGGACATGCATTAGTGAAGAGATGTCAGAGCAGGGCTGCTACACATTGCTGTGCAGTGAGCGCAACAAAGCAGTTGGGAGTATGGCTCAAGGGCACTTCGACAGAGCTCAGAAGGTTCCCTGGCAGACCAACTTCCATATTTTGGTCTGTACCAGGACTTGAGCCGGTGACCCTCCGATTCCCAACCCAAGTCCCTACAGACTACTGCCGCCCCAAGGATTTAGTGCTTCCTTTTGGAATTTGGAGCGAGTTTGATAATGTCCATTAGCCCAGTGTAATGAAGAGCAGCTGTGTGTGGTTGTAGATTTCCAGAAAGAGCTTTATAAATAAATAACAGCCAATGCCTGACATGTCTGACTGTTAACAGCCGGCCAACTTTATCATATAGGATGCAATTATGACTGGAATAGCTGTCCCCAAAGGAAAACGTAAATGTATAATTTCTCTGTACCAATACCCCTTTTTGTCTAAATGTTGTGGTAAATGAACAAATGTGAAATTGAAACGTGAATTGTTAATCCAATCAGACACCAAGGTATTTATACTGAGAGGCCCCTTAAATATCATGACCCTCCAGTGTTATAATGGGTAAAATACTGTCTTCACATTCTCTGGCTCAATGGAACCGCATGCATTTAGTTTTATCTATGTTCATATTCATTTCAAATCAATAAAGTGCATGTTCCAAGATTCCAAGATTATTTCAGTGGCCAACTGTGCAGTGTCTGTAAAGCAATACAGCACGGTGTCATCAGCATAAAGATGGTTCTTACAGTCTGTCAGTAGTGATGTAATATTATTGGTTCGATGGTAGTGCTAAAAAGTAAGGGGACCCAATACAGTACTTAGTAACACTCCCCTCGATAGTGGTTAATATACCTGGTGATCATTTCTGCTGAGGGTCAATCATGTTGAAGTGCTTAAATTACGATCATGGATCAATATATTCTCACAAATGTTGACAGCTGCTGGCCTCTGTTGATAATCAGTTGACCTAAGGGTGCAGTTATTGAGTGACTAAGAAGAGGTTGGTTTAGCAATGAGTGTAAAAGGATTATTTATTCTATATTTCTATGATGATTAGCCATGGTGACGCTCAAGTCTGCAAACATCACAGTCAGGAACAACAAGAGACCCGTTACTGACCTATGCAGGTCCTGGCTGGAACAGAGGACTGGCTGATCCAGAAAGAAACCCAGGAGAGAACCACCAGCAGAATGGAGGGAACATACGTCTCCAGAATAAAGAATAAGACGTTTCTGCGCAGTGCAAAGTGCAGCACCAGCTTTGGGTACTGTCCTGTGTGGAGACACAAAAAAAAGCATGGCTTCTCAGGAAGAATTTAAAGACGTGGAGAAGATGGCTTTATTGCTACAAAAAAAGTATCCTACTGTACCTGTTTCATACACAGCCTCTGACACTGTTGTATAGTAGGTCTCTACACTGTACTGAGCCAGCCGCAGTGTATCCAGACCCTTTACTGAATCATTCCCTCTGGTCCAGTAGAACACCACATCCTGCAGGTTATACCCCCCTGACCACACACACACACACACACACACACACACACACACACACACACACACACACACACACACACACACACACACACACACACACACAAAGGTTTTATAATTAAGGTCTGATGAATCCGACTGTCCAGGGGAAAACAGATCATCCTCAGTTTGATACTCACTACACTGATGATGAAAATGGAGATGAAGTTGATGAAATAATTGTCTGTGTCCTTTAACACACTTGATGAAGGTTTTTATGGAGATGCCGGTGGAGCTGGCAGGTACTCACAGCTCTCCAGCTGCAGGGTGCACACCTGTCTGTCCATGGGGTACTTGGTCAGGTCCATGTTGCAGGCGATCGTAGCTGTGATGCTGTCGTGTAATAAGAGATCATTAGAAACCCTTCCCCTGAAACACTGTTACGGCTTTGATGTCGAACAAGGTCGTTAAAAATGAATCAACACAAAGAAGTCTCCCAAATGAGAGCAAACACAAGAACAAGGAATCATATCTGACGTGTCAGCATTAGTTGATTCAGTCTTGATGCATCGGTTAGATTCATGTTGGGATTCAATGAAGTAATCCCTTAGCACATTGTCATGTCCTATTTGAGTTGGAGTTGTAGCAAAATATGCAGATTTTGCATGAAAAGCTAGAAACATGGCCAACAAACTTTAACAATGACAACACAAATCTTTTTCACAATCTTAAGTATTCAATGTACAAACATAAAACAAAGAAATGGAAACAAAAGTCAGTCCCCCTGCTCAGGAAAAATAAGGACATTCCTGCACGACACTGCCCTTTCTGACCCTGAATGAAGCCGTCCAGTCACAATAAAAGTCTGTATCAGGGTGACATGACAGATTAAAAGACAAGACACATTCTTGTTCTGTGGCCAAGGGGGAATCTGCCAATCTTCACTAACACAATCTGAACTATCCAAGGAGCGCAAGAAATACAGAAAACATGGCGGCATTCCCTTCAGTTATATGACTGAGGGATGATACATCATGGATTTTTTTCTTTTTTTAAGTAGGCTAGCTTAAAGGCCAGTTTACGGTTGATTACCACGCAAATGAAGAAAAAACAGCAAATTAAGAAGAAGAAAACAAGAAAAACATGTTTTCTCTTTTCTTTCTTCATCGTTTAATTGATCTTCCTCCAGCTCAATTTCCTCACACAAGCTCTGCTCAGTCTGTTTTTTTTACATCTTCAGGTGCATCAAATGTCAGTAAATGTCAAATCAATACTCCCCCCTAAGCGTTTAAAGGATATAATGTACCGGAGAGCGTAGAGAACAGTTCCATTGCTGAAGATGCGAATGAGGCGGTTTTCCACCGTGACGTCATGCAGGAAGGAACGCTTGGAGTCCGGGATGAAGGTGTCAGGGATCCAGAGCAGCGAGACCAGGCGCCCGTCCACACTGACACTCTCATTTCCTGGAAACACCAGGCGAGAATCACGCCACCTCTGACGGAGGAAGATGGTTGCAGTGTAGTCCTGAAAAGATGATAAGGAAAGGAGATGAGGCCTTGATTTAACACAATATTTCAACTTAAGGCACACACAAAAAACGCAAAAAGAGGGTAATACCATGTTGATTTCAGAGATGGCGTCAATGCTGGCGATGTCAAGGCTCATCCCAATCTCAACAGGACCCTCTGGCAAAGGAAAGATTAGGAAATAAGTCACTTTTCATGTACAAGCAAAATCGAAATGTTACTTTTGCAGGTACCAAAAATCACAAATTGAGCTTTTATCACCGTTGAAATTAGGTCTCAGGTAGCGGTTGTATCCTTTCATCAGCTTCTGAATGGTTGGCAGGAGCTGGGAGTCGTTCCAGTCCCCCCAGTGTGGGCTTGTGAATGCATAAGCGCTGGTGACGATGACAAGAATTGAAAAAGAAATTAACCAGGAGGAAGGTAATGGGCCGTAAAGAAATTGCACTTAGATAAATATACAGTAAATGTCAATATGAGCTTATGTTGTTAACCCTCTACTTGTGTTTTCTCTCACCCCTGTGTGAAGGTCCAGCAGAGGATCAGGAGCGTCTGCAGGTGGGTGGACATGATGTGGGTTTGCAAGTAAGGGGTCAGCAGCTGTGCTCAGGGAGTTGTGAAAAATAAAACACAAGAAGCCTTTAGTCCACAAATCACCTTTCCTGCACGTTGACATTTTATAGGCTAACACTGTTTCTCCATTAGGTGGCAGCGCCGTTCATATTGAGATGAACGTGATCTCAACCTCAGGGGAAATGTGCAGCGCAGCAGACATTCTCGCCCTCCTTCTGATGTTATAAAACTCAGCTTCCTTCCAGCCCTCAAACTTGCAGAATGCAGCAGCTGCGTCTATCGATCTTCCTTGTTTCATGAATACATTAGTTGCTGCTCCATTTTGCTGACACTCACACACTTTAGAAAACACAGTAAAGACCAGCAATAGTGTGAATAAAGCTACATTAAAAGCTTGTTTTTGAGTTTTCTTTGTGCACACAGATGTATTTTATTGTCTGTCACCTGTTGATTTATGTGGCTCCTGCCTCATGGTTTATTCACAAAGCCTTCAAGAGAACTAATCCAGTCTCTAGCTCATCAAGGATTCCCCTGTTGTCAGACTTTCTCGCCCCGTTTCTTCCCTCTTTTTCTCCTTCTACAGATCAGTCTCTGTCATTAATGCACTAAAGCCCTTCCCTCCTCTTAATTTATTAATTACTTTCATCCAAATAAAGTAAATCAAACATGTGCTTTTGCTTCCACCTGTTCCCAAAGCAATATAAGAAAGACACTAGACCCTGAGCCTTTGCAAAGCATGTCCATTACATATACAATGTATTATTCACACAGCACTGTCATTATAAATAATGATGCATATGAGCACTACTGATTCCCTTTTCTAACGGCTAATAAATTACAATTCAAAGGCAAAAGATGTAATTATGTCCGACTTGTTTTTCCTCACATTGTGCTGGTTGATGATTTATTCATGCCATTATGTTTTCCTAGTTTCATTCACTTTCTCTTTCACCAATTTGAAGCTTAGACTGAACTCCCAGTTATTTGGATTCAATTAGCCTCTCCTCTCATTTCTCTGCAAATTTCACTTACTTCCCTTCAATGCTTGCATAAACTGTGTGAAATAAAAACATTTAGTTAAATAGTATATCTTGTTGTTTTTGTCTCTTCATGCAAATCCCAAATTTTTTTTTTTACATTTGATCTTTTTTCACTTTAAAGGTAAATATTATTTTTAACATTTTCCAGTTATAAAACTCATTTTTATTTTAGTTTTTTGTTCTTTGTTCTCATCACTGCTCTCTTTCTCCTACCTGTTTCAGGCTTCAGCTTTTCTTTTTTCCTCCTCCGGTCACCGCTCTCTCCTTTGTTTCCTCCCCCACGTTTCTTCCTCTCTCTCTCTCCGTCCCAGATGTTGTGTGAGTGGCTGAGATTGTTTTTTTCCTCCTCCGTTATTAAATTATTTTAATCCCCGTATTTCTTCCACCTACCAGTAAACCTCAGTATCTTCTGTTGTTAAAGTCCTGGTGTGTGGGCTTCTGTTGGTGGTTGTACTGTCTGTGCATCTCCCTCTGTCTCTCTGCACAGCTGTATTCATCTCCCCACAGAGACTCTGTGCACCCCCCCTCACTCCCTCTCTCCCTCCCTCGCTTTCTCCCTCTCTCTCCTTCTCAGCTTCTCATTTAAGCTGCATCTCCTCCCCCTTTGCTCACTGCCCTCCATCCTCTACACACATACACAAATCACACCTACGTATGTATGCACACACACAAAAATACATATCGACTTTGATACCCCATATCACTTCTTTTCAATTCTCATCCTCCCCCTCCCACTTTGTTTTCTTATAGCCCCTAATCTCCATCTGCTTCCATCTCTTGCAATTTACACCGACGCTCCACTGCCTCCTGGGCTCCCATGTCTCGTTCTCTCATGCCCTCTCCACCCTCACCTCCATCTCTGTTCCTTTGCATCAACGTCACTATCCCAGTTAGTTCCCTGTTGTCTCTACCTCCCGTCTCCATCTTCACAGGACACAGTTGGACTTCCATGAAATAAAAAGACTATTTCAATTATTCTTTTTTTCTGACATTAAACTTAGAAAATAGTATTCTCGTATTTTTCTGACTTCTGCAGCTCACAATTTAAGATTCACACATGTAACCTTTTCTATAATAGCTGCTGGTGTTGTGATTTTCGTTGTTTCAATTGGCTGAAGTTACTTTTTTTTTACTTGATTGTGAAAAAAAGGGTGAAACCAATACAATTGCAAGACAATACAAGAAATACAGAACATAGTGAGGGAGGACAGTAAAACAGTTTTGAACTAATCAGACAACAGAGATTTACACAAATTAACAAGAACACTACATAAAGTGAAAACAATAACCAAAACAAAGAAACAGGTGGAGGGAAAGAAAGAAAGAAAGAAAGAAAGAAAGGAAAAAGGGGCCTAGTAATGAGAATGAGAGAGGATGTATCAATAAGCATTTCTCTCTGAATGGGTATAGGTGTGTGTGCCTCTAGTTGTGGTAAAGGGGATTTGGTGGGGATGAGGATTAGGGGTAGCAGGTGTAAGGGTTTCAGACAGAGGCTTGACTGCTCATGATATTGTGGAAGGAGTGGCTGTGAATGTTAAACCGATGATGTCTTTCTGTCCAGGCCGCACCATGGTAGTCCCCAAACTGTTACGAGGGAACCTGCCAACTGAGGTTGCTGTGGCTTACATATATTATGGTCTTTAATGTACCTGGCTGTTGTTTTTTTCATGCCTGAGTGCTGAAAGTAATAGTGGAATGACACAAATTTGCCAAGCAGATATGTCTTTTTTGGATTTTAGTAAATAGTTTGATATTTAGGAAAAAGAACAGCAACAAACCTACTTTTTATTTATCTATTCTTCCTTTGTTTTTAGGTCATTCCCTGCCAAATGTTGTACTTGTAACTTTTTGTACTTGTTAATATCATCATTTACATCATACACTGTGGTACTATGGTTGGGGTGTATATTCTCCTCTTGTGAGGATATCCTCTTGGTGTAGTTTGCCAGTGACTTTTATTAAATAAGATGAGAGAGAAAAACTCCTGGGTGCTGAACTTGAATGCTGGACTGCATCAATTAATCATTAGGTATACCATAAAATCCTGGACCCTGTACAAACACCATCTCCCGACTCTCCAGCATCACTGACTTTTCATTTAAGCATCTTTGAGCCCCTTCTTCACTCGGTCCCTTTTGCCCCCCAGTCCTACATTCCTGATGGCTTTGGCTTATCACAGCAGTCACCCACAGCCGGAAGACCAAAGCTCTTTTACAGATTGTTCAGGTTGTGATTAATCCCTATTAGCTCTTTGTTCTGTGGCTCTGGAGCAAAGATTCAGCTCTAATTATATAGCCTGAACTCTGAGGGCCCGCTGCTAGGAGATCCACTTTATGTGAAAAAGCCTGGAGGGTATACAGCCTAATAACACCTGATGAGATTTCAGTGCAGGCGCTCAATTTGCAGCAACCTATTGCTTCCCAGCCTGTATTCTCCAGTCCTGACTATTTATTGGTTTCTAACAAGCTGATATGTGGCCATCATTGGTTATTAAGCAGCTCAATAATTCATGTAGTTCTCATGCTCTCTTATTCTTAATTTCATGCTTGCGTATCTGTATTCCTGAATAAACTCTTTTTACCCTTAATGATGATGGGGAGGAGTGTAAAACGAACACTGGATAATCATATTTGCATCCACCCTGATAATGATATGAACCAACACTCTCTGCTCTCTGACAGTGAAAGAGACAAATGAAGACATCTGTGAAGTTCCTGAGGATAAGGGAGGGAAGGTTTGATCTGTGAGTTAAGGGTCTAGTGAATAATTATCGTCAGCTCAGGGACGACAGAGTGGCAGACAAGTCAATGTTACTCAGTATCCACTTGGTTGCCTCTGCCTACCTGCATGCATATTAATGTCTCTGTCACATCTACAATGAAAGAGTCGGGTTTGATTCTAATTTCTTTCACAAAAAAACTAACTTGTTTATCCATATCTACCCACCTGTCCATTTTTATAACTTATTCATAAGCTAGCTTACTTTACATATTTTCTTGTTTGTTGCTCTGTCTGCATGTTTATGTCATAGCACACATAATCTACCAGTTTCAAGCGCCATTGTAGCAGCTTCTCTGTGTAAATTCAGTTTGTGTCCTTTAAAATTCACAGAAGCTTCATTCGGTTCAACACAAATGTTGGAAATGTGCCAAATGCTAATGAGGCCAAACCTGAATGGGACACAAAACTCTCCCCAGTTGGTCTCTTTAAGCCAAAGAAATGTCCCTTTGGCCCAGTATGATGCACTAGCTTAGCCTACGTAGGCCTACTGTAGCTATGTCTATACAGTGGATAGTGATGATTAATTTAATCATCTCTCACCATAAAAGTCTTACAGGCCTATGGAGACTTGTTTTACAGAGTTTTTGCAATTCAGCTAACTGAATCAACTGCTTGAGTTCGCTGATTTCGAAATTAAGGGGAAATGTAAAAAATCTGTAAAAAATAAAATGCATTATAACCCCCTATGGAAGTACTCTAACTGGTTGCTACTGTTTAAGAATGATGTCCAACTATGTATTCAAAAGTTACATTACCCAAAGACGTAGGTCAGTTCAATTCTAAAAGGTTATGCTATTAGCCTACAGGTGAAGATTAGCAGGTAGCTAGCAGCATCAGGTAGACTATTTCTACCTGTAATTATCTGCACTAGTGCTAACTCTGCTAACTGTTAACTGCAAAGAACAGTTACATTTCAAAGGAATAATCAAATTATTATGGTACTTTTCATATGATCTGTCTGTTGAGCTAACACCCTGTAGCAACAAGTTTGCTAACAAAGGCCTACAGTAGGTTATAGGCTTTAAAACTGTATACAAGGCAGACTTTTTGAAACACATACAGTACTGTTCTAAAGTACCTCTAACTGACTCATTGTTGAAATAATTCAGTCAATTGTAAATACTAAAAATGTAGTAAAAGTTCTAGTTTGAATCTGACTAAAAAGGTAGTGTCATTGTAAACAACTCTTCATCTAATGCTTGTGCTGCATCAAGTCCTTCATGTTCATTTCTGTAACTGGCCCCTGTTTGACATTTCTCCTAGTTAATATTTCATTTTAAATGCCACCAGTTTCCTGTGCTAACAACACCCACTGCCACATGGTTAACACCATCAACCTCCCATTACATGTGTCACTCATCTCTATGATTGCTCCACCTACATTTTCTCACCTTTGTAGCTCTCAGATTCTCAAATCCCCTTCCAGCCATCCATTCCTCAGTCCTACCATCCAATAAAATATGCATGCCACGTTCTCCCCTATCATCTTCTGTCCAGTCATGAACAACTCAATGCTGCACTTTGGGTCCTTTCCCATCAAGTCCCCTTTCTGTAATTGTCTTTCTCTAAATTTCTTTTTTTTCCTCTCTTGGCTCTTCAACTGGATTTCTATTTCCCCATCTCTGTTAGTATGAATTAACATTTTGACGACGGTGACGTTTCAGGTTATGTTCCAGGCACCAGGAAATGGAAACGTCACTACCCGCTCGTTGGCCTGGGTGATTTGCTGTCATGTGGCAAATGGAAATGTCACAGGACATCACATGATGAGAGGGACAGAGATAAATCTCTCTTAAATGACTTGTGAAGGCTGCCATATCTGGGAGGAACACATATAAATTATTACAGCGTAGCCTCTGAGCACTGTGCGCTAACCTCTGCTCTGAGCCAGCTGTCATGTCTCCCAATGACTGTTGTATCTATTTAGAGCGGACAAAGTGTCTTTTGCTTTTTTGGACAACTTCTTAATTAAATGTCCTTTCACATCCTTTAAAGTGTACTTGTGCAGGCTGTTGTCTTTTGTGCTTTGGCTTCATCAATGGCAGAATAGAAGAAGTTCTTGTGGATCTGTTTGTGCTGTTTCTCATAAAGTTTATTCTCTGTGATTGCACCTGTTGATCCCAAAGTATTCCGTGGTTTGTCTCCTTCAACACCTGTCTGAAGGACTCATTTATCCTCCTTGCATCTCTTTGCTAAAGTTTTGGCTAAGAGTTTTAATTCCTTTCCTGCACATGATCTGATGTGTGTCTTTAGCCACCTGGTCCCTCAAGAGCAACATCTCCACAAAGGTATGATTAAAAACCTTGTTCAATGTTCATCGGGCATGGCACAGCATTCTGTTTGGGACTGGGAGCAGAAACCAACCTACAGGGCTTCTAACCATAACAGCATTTAATGCCTCAGTACAATACCTTATTAAAAGTACTGGCTCTCGGAGGATTACACAACATGATCAAATAATTGCTGGAGCAAATCTCATCTCCAAACAGCCCCTAAAGATTCAAAAGTGTAAAGCTAAATGCCAAACGTAATGAAGGCATCAGTACAGGCTTAAATGTGTTATAGTCTTTAAATGGACCCAAAAGCAAAACTCGGAGACAAGGGTAGTGGGTAAGAGGGGTATTTACTGCAAAAAAAATTAAACGGTGGCCGATCCACCACGGTGTAGGCGGAAATAATCTGGCATTTTAGAAGAGATGAACCAGGGTATAAATGCAGCA